GGCTTACGAAGTCGGCACACTTTTTGGCAGTACGGATGACCTTCACACTAGAGGATTTCTGTAGACTGTACATACGGGAGATAGTCCGATTACATGGGGTGCCCGTATCTATAGTATCGGATCGGGACCCTAGATTCATCGCTCATTTTTGGAAGAGTTTTCAGCGGGCCATGGGGACGTAGTTGATGATGAGTACCACTTTTCATCCCCAGACAGATGGTCAGTCAGAGAAGACCATCCAGACTTTAGAGGATATATTTCGGGCATGTGTCCTTGATCTCAAGGGTGGCTGGGATGAACACTTACCATTAATAGAGTTCGCCTATAACAACAGTTATTAGGCGAATATACAGATGGTGCCCTATGAGGCACTTTATGGGAGGTCGTGCCGTTCTTTGATTTATTGGACGGAGGTTTGAGAGAGACCCTCCACGGGTTCGAATTTGATTAGAGACACTTTGGAGAATGTGGACTTGATATGAAAACGTCTTCTCACAGCTCAGAGCTGATAGAAGAGCTACGCCGATAGACGGCGACGATCTTTGGAGTTCGAGGTCGGAGATCATGTCTTCTTGAAGGTGATACTTAAGAGAGGGAGTAGTCAGGTTCGAAAAGCGAGGAAAGCTGTCGCCGAGGTATATCAGGCCCTTCGAGGTACTTGAGAGGGTTGTTACAGCTACCTATCGGTTGGTATTACCGCCAAATCTATCTGGTGTTCACGTGGTATTCCATGTTTCTATGCTCAGAAAGTACACTCCAGATCCTACACACGTGGTGGATTGGGGTGAACTAGTGGTTGATGCGGATAAGACCTTCGAGGAGAGACCGGTGCATATCATAGACAGTCGAAAGTAGGTTTTGCGCGGCAAGACTGTAAGGCTGGTAAAGGTGTTGTGACAGCACCATGGGATGGAGGCGACATGGGAGCATGAAGACACTATCCGAACTACCTATCCGTTTTTGTTCGCAGATGGAGGTACATCTCTTATAGTCATAGAGTATTGAATGACTTTTTGAATGTGCATGTTGTTCTATATGCATGTGGGTGCAATTTTGGGAACGAAATTTTCTTAAGGGGAAGAGAAAGTAAAACCCGAAAAAAAAATTATTATTATTATTATTAAAAATCTTAATTAAATGTGTAAAATAATAATTAATTGTAAATATAAGGGTCAAAAACATAAATTTTTAAACTATAAATTTATACTATATATATATAAAAGTGTGGAAGACTTTACATAGTATGGGATATAACGATGTGGTATCGAATTACATGGTATCCACGGGTATTTCGCGGGTTGATAGGTGATCAATCGGGTAATTGCAGACACAAGAATTTTGGGGTGTCACACAATCTGTCAAGTTCGTTGGAATTTATTTGCGGACACCTTTATGTGGCACTATCTAGATCCACATCTTCGGATCGTAGTAGTTTCCTCTTTTTGGAAGATGGGTCGAATTGCACCACAAATATTGTTAACCCATAAGTTCTGTTATATGATTCTTATAACAAGTAAATGATATAGTTTAAACAAGTTTATTTCTACTAAATTATGTAACATTTTCAACATTTCAACTTTAAATTTTACAGTGGATTGGAGTGAATTTTAATTATGAGGTTCAATATTTGTAGGATTGGAGTGAATTTGCCAAAGAGAGCTATAGAGTATGTACAATGGACTTTTGTGGATGAGGCCGGCGTAATCAGGTAAATTTACTCTTATATCACTGCATCAGAATAATTTTACTATTCCTATAATATATATATATATATGTATATATATATTGTGTTAATTTTATTGTTTATGTAAATAATTTAGGTGGTTGTGCATTCTTCCAATTGGGCAAAGTGCGCTCGTATTGATACGAGGAAATTAAGGATAGTGATGAAGAGAAGATTTAGAGGGATGAAATGGACATTTAAGAGAGTTATTGAAAGATGACATTATCTCTGAGAAAATTCAAACGATTTGCAATCCAGTACCAACCTGTCCACCTTTGACGATGACTAACCCACCACTGATCAAACTATTGTTCAAGTGTGATAGCCTCTCTTACTGAGAATCTCTATATTTCTCTACTTCTCATGCAAAAGTACAACACACACACAATACATGCACAAAAACACACGCAATTACGACTAATCATACTTCCACCAATAAAGATTTATGATTCAAATCTTTAGGTAAATGAACTGTTTGTTGAAATGCTACATAGGAACACTATATGCTCTTTCTCTCCTACATCACGCCCAATTTGATAGGAGTTCGATTATTTGATTGTAAGTCTTTCTCTACACTCATCCATATCTTTTCCTAAATAAATTGATAATTTCTTACAGTCTCTCTAAATTCTTACATATATCAATCTAAATCCTCCCCCTCCCCCCCCAAAAAAAAAAACCTACATACAAATGTGTGTGCTCATTAATTTTTTAGATAATTCAGGGTAATAAAATTGATGACAATAATTATGTTGAATCCAACTAACTAGAAAAGTAAGCGGTCAAGTGTTTCGAATTTACAATTGTTTTATTTTATCTCACATATTTCGATAATTGTTTTATTTCAAATATTTTCAGGTATACATGGAAGGATATGAAGATGAAATTGAAGTTGTTTCTCTATTTGTGCATGTATATATTTTTTGTGTCTTGTTTTTTGTACAGTTAACTAATTATAAATGGTTATGATGATTTTGGGTATGTATTGATGATTGTGGTGATATGGTGTATTATGATGATTGTTATATATGATTGTAAGTTTTGTAGACAGATTTAGATTTTTTTTGAATTTCTATTTTTAGAGGAAATGTTGTCGAAATTTCTTGAAATTAGTAGAGACTAACTTGATGTTTTGGTGGTTGGATGTGTTGATAATTGGGTATATATTGATTATTGTTGTGGTATGATGAATTATGATGATTGTTTTGTATGGTTGTAAGTTCTGTAGACAGATTTAGATTTTTCTGGGTTCTTATTTTTAGAGACAATTTTGCCAAACTTTATGGATAATAGTATGGATTACCTTGATTTCAAATTGATAAGTTGTTTTAGGTTGCAAAGAGTCTTTTTGTAATGTAACATTTTTCGAGTTTTAATTTAATTTTCTGTTACATCGTGTCTTTAGGCACGGACAATTATTAGTATATCTTTATTGTTAGTAAATTAAGGGATAATAATTTTCAAATTATGAAATTAATTTAAAGTTGCTTTCAATGAAGGGTATTTTGAAGTTTTAAAAAAATAGTGAACTTAACTACTTATTAGTAAGATTAAGTACGGACTTATCTTCAAATAAGTTTTCTTGACGGACTAAATTCATTATAAGTCCCTTAAGGAGGATTCAACCCCAATTTTTACTACAATTTATAAGCATAGAGTCCTAACTGAGGCGGTGATGTAAATGTCAAGCTACTAATTTATCAGGGAGAATAGCTACAATTAAAGACGGACATTATCATGAAGTAATGACTATCTCGATAATTTCTCTCCCACGTGCATAGACTCTTTCTAAATTCTTGAACTTTGAACTGGATTGAAATCATGAGTTAAGTTTGATCTGTCTTTTTATGATTTATGTCCAACCTACAAATTGGGCTCAAACATAATTTGAATCTGGGCTCGTCACCACTTTTCTTAAATACAAAAAAATTTATTACTTTTAGAGGTGATTTACTATATTTGTTGATATTTTTGTTATATTTGTGAATATTTTTACCACTATTGTGGAAGCTATTTTTACTATTTTTTAGATATTACAATAATTACAAAAATAACTATAAATATAATAAAAATTAACACAAATATAATAAATTTTGATATATAAAAATTATTCTACAGGCTCTGGTGGCTGTACCGTTGCGAACTCCCATCCGGATTTGGACAGTTCCACAAGAAGTTGACTAAGGCCACCTTACCAACAACATTGAATATAATTAATGTGAGGGGAGGCTTAACGGCAAGCCCACGTTACTAAAATCAAATTTTATATCGTACTATTAAATTTTATAAGTTTGTAAGCTAAGAGATAAATTTTTGAGTTTGTTTATAATAAAAAAAATTATAATTTTTTAGGTAATATTATAACTTTTAGAGTTTAAGTAATAATTTTTTGAGAGTTATTTATGATTTTTTGGATATTTGAGCCCGATCTTAAATTTGTTAGCATTGCACTAATAATTTTAGGATCGATCTCAAATATTCCCAATAATTATAAATAATTTGCAAAATTTATAATAAAAAATCATAAAATTTATATTACAGTACCGAATTCTAATTTTTTTATTTTATTTTATTTTTTGGTAGCATCGACTTGGTCTAAATATAATTAAAGTCGCTTCGCTTAATCTTCCCCTTATTAATTGCACCGAAAATGTCCTGTTCCGGAGCATTAAATATCCTTCAAATACTTGGGAAACAAACTACTAATCTAGAAGAGAATACATTTCCGGAGAGAGTATGCAAGTTCTCGAACAGACTTTTCCCAGTTAGAATGCATTGATTCGTTTCTAGAATACTGAACTTGTGAGGTTCTCGGGCGTCCGAAATGTGGCGGTGTTAAAGAGGATAATCTGGATACATCATTTATATTGGTGCGAAGTTTCACCCACACAAGAACAAAATAATCACAAAACCTAGTTGAAAACAATAGCGAGTAAAAGTGTTCAGAAAAATGAAATGCATATTCTAACTAGTTAGCGAATTTATTTCGCGGGTATAGCAATGACGAGGTGCAGCCATCTGCTAATAATCATTAATTCGTATCAAGTACGATCATATAAGTGATCCTCTCTAATTTGGTACTCGAAATTAGATACACAAAATGATCATTTACGAATAAATATGAACCTAACAAATGCAACCATCCAACAACAATTATTTAAGCATTAGCATTCACAATTTCCACATATTTATATCTTACATGCACTTCCATCCACTAGAGCAGTACTGAACAAGGACCAACTTTTTTTCAACTTAGCAGCAATGCCACATATCCAATTCAAGCAGTTTTAGATGGGAAGATTAAACATTGTTCTTCAAGAGGACTAGGGTTGAAGGAAGCAGCTTCTAGGAGCTCCTCATCATGTTCCAAGATTGCCATCTCTTCTTCATCCAAGGTCACCCAAGCTTCTATACCAGTCCCACACTTTGTATCTACCAAAAGAATTAAGTTCCCAAATTGATTTCCTGGACTACTTACCCATGTTGGTTTTCCCCATCCAAAATCCGTTTCGTACAATGGAAATTTGCACCAACTTGTACAACTAATAGTTGGGCTCTTGAACAATTCACTGTACTCTTCAAGCGACTCGCGAATCACTTGAAAAGCTTCATCACCCTTGAATCTGTTCGCCGTTTTCGTGCAGAATTCAGTGAATCTTTCCTTGATTTTGCTTACTAAGTCTGGTAATTCTATGTCGCTCTCTTCGATGATTACAGGATGTGTCCAAACGAAATGAGCTATGGAGTTTTTCAGCAATGGTGGGTCTACCCATCTGCGCAAGTCCACTGTCTGTAGATAGACAGTTGGCGTTTCGGACCCCGATTTCAGTCGAGCCGCAGCTATGGTGCGTTTGAGGATAAACGCAGACACTGCTTGAACACGAGTAGGGTAGTTCTGCTCATTTTCTCCGGCAGTTTTTTCTTTAAGAACAGCTATTTTTGATGCCTCGAATACAAACCTCCTTGTTGTATAATTCGCCGTGGTTGCGTAACCCGTGGTGGGGGTGATGAAGCCATCTCTTGGTGGCATAAACGATGCGTCGATGAATTTTGGGCACACTACTGCATCGGAATTTCCAGTGGCCATGGCAGTCCAGTTTTGGAAAAAGCAGCACATGGAGGATAAATCAAACATCTTGTGTTGAAAACACATTCCAATTGCTACTCCACCACAGTCAAAAGTTGTCTGTTGAACGAGCAACATGCAACCTGCAGATAACTCAGACGTTCTAGGTTCGACCGGAAGAAAACCCTCCAGCAACTTAGCATCAGGTTCTCGAAGAGCGTCAGAGATTTGGCAGTTGACTCGAGCTTCCAAGTAATAAGCTCCTTCGTCGTTACAGTCGATGGAACAGGCATCTTCGAGTCTTCCAGCAAGTGGGTAAAATATGGTTAGGACTTTAGACAGTGAGTCCTTGAGGGTATCAGACATGTCTGCACTGTTTTTGGTTGTGGGTGTGTAGAAGAAGATGATTTCACTGTAGAATGGAGGAAGGAGCTGTCCGAAAAATGGAAGCTTGAAGGTTCGGAGGTGATGGGGAGTGGGAGAGGAGGGTTTAATGGTTGATCTAGAGAGTCTAAGAGTTTGAATGGCACCCATTTTTTCTCTCCTACACCTTCAGTTTTGGTGCTTGTGAGGATCTGCTTCAATTCTCTGCAATTTATAGGTATTAGAAAGCAATAAGCATTCATGACTATTACGTGCATGTCAAAATAATTATTAAATAAAAGAAATTCGGATGGGTGTATATTTTATAGTTTTCTTTGACTTTGACTTATGCCTTTCTATTTATTTTTTGAACTATACCTCAAATCTATAATTCAAATTTACATCGACCAGTAGATCAATGAGTCTTACTTAAAAAATTAATAGGATCTACTCATCTAATGATATCTCTTTATTTTGAGATACAAATTTAAGTTATAAATTTAGATTACATAATATTTTTTTTGGAACAGAATTTTGACTTAGACCCTAAAACGTTATTCCTCTGATTCTATAGATATAGGATTTATTTTTGTTTTTGTTTTTGTTTTTGAGTTGAATCTAGCTGTCTCAATGGTATGTGTTCGGTCTGATCAAATAATCACACCTCGTAGAATTTATCTCGAGATGAACGGAGAATTATAAGTACTAAAAAGAATTAGATAGATGGTCTGAAAGACATAAATAATTTATAAGTCGTCCAAAGCATGTATACTTTGGAGTGCAACACATAATCTGGATGCACATAATCATTTATGAACTAAGCTTATTGTTTTAGGAGCAATGTTATTGGGACATAATTAACTAACTTAATTCATTATGACATTTGGATTAACTGTGGGTCACGTTAAACAATAAAATTTGATATTAATATAATAATTTTAATAAAATTATATTATTAAATTAATAAATTATGTCAAATTTTTAAGTCCAAATAACGTTATCTATTATTTAGATTCACATATTTTAATAGGCTTTTACTCACTTGAATTTACGGTTGGTGGTCTATTATTTAATAAAATTAATTAAAAATATAATAAATAAGATCACAATCCGAATGAGTTCAAGTTTTACAACTTTGACTCCTGTTCCCAAGGCTTATCGCTCCAAGTATTGCCGTTAAAGCTGTTCCCACCTTTATTGAAATTTGTTAGTCAATCCCTTGCGTTGATTGACTGTTTTATGTAAATTTCAATTTTATTTTATGTTCATTGTCGTGACAAAATTGTATGCATTTTGTGTGATGTGATTTTTGTACAATAAATAAAAAAAATAATTCTTTTTTTTAGTGAACTTGTATTTATTTTGAAAGTCAACAATCTCACGGCGAAGGAACGTTAAAATAGTCTAACGAATGGTGATAAATTATTTTTACGACTGTTTGGTTGATTCTGACAAGCCAAAGGCGCTTCCTGACACTCAAAATAAAGGTTTGTAAGGTGCCGGAATATTTTTCAGTATATTTCCTCTAACGATCAAATCAGTTTGTGAAAAAGGAGAAAAGAAAAACACTCTTTTATGTTATGGGGTGAGATTGCATACTTTTGTCCTCAATTTTCTATAATTATTTATACCTTCATAGCGGTCATCATTATCGTCAGGTGGGTCATATCAAGAAGAGGCTCTTCATTGGTCTATTTAGGAGGCAGTGGGTAGTGTTTAGTCATTGGGCAGAGCACCTCCTATTCTGAATGAGATAGGCTCTGATATTTCGTGCTCGGGCTCCTGAGCCTTTAGTGTTCTTCCTCCTAAGTTTCTTGAGCAGTAAATGCTCTTCCTCCTAAATTTCTTGAGCATTAAATGTTTTTTCTTCTAAGCTTCCTGAAATTCATAGATGTCTCATCCTTCTGAGGGATTATTAAATAATTTTTTGGTATGACTGCATGCCAGTAAAGACATTCTCATCTATTGACACTCAATTCTGCACTTTGTGTCATGTGTTCAACTCCCTTTGGCTCCTAGTCTTATCCTTTCCCCCATTCTGACTTCTTTGGAAAAACAAGCTAGTAGTAAATGGGCAGTTGTGATCTCAAGTGAAGACAGTTGTCAGTTACCCTCCCATATCTCGAGGTTCTAAATTCGTATTAATATTATAATCTATTTATATTATATATTATATATATAACATATCATATAATATATATATATATATAAGTATATATTATAATACATAATAAAAATAAATTGTCAATATAAAAATAAATTTTTTATATTTTTTTATTAATGTTTGAATTACTGTTCAAATATATATTTAAACTGTCCAAACATGTTTTACTATTTTATGTATTGTAAAATTTTTTTTGAAATCATCTAACTAAATAAGTTTTTTATCTCAAAAAATATCAAAACTATTTTCTTAAAATTTTTCTCAAAAACTGTTTTCAGACACTAATTTTTGAAATGCAAACTAAACAGGTCCATAATTTTCAAAAATCTTATTAATTCTTAAGAATACCAAGTCAATTGGGAATCGAAAGATAACTCGTCTTAAGTTTTATTCAAAATAAACCAAAGTTGTTGAATTAGTTTTTAACACAATGTAAATAAGAAACTCTAACAGTTCTAAATTACAAGAAAAGCCAAGCAAATACACAATATTATAAAAATATTCCAACAGTGAGATAAAAATAAAAAAGTGTCCTAAACGTCAATCTTGCTCAAATCGCTGAGAATTTTTCGGAATGAAGTCTTACAGAATTTTCGATATTGTCGCCCAAAATCAACCCTGATTTCTATCCGATCAGTGCTACTTTCGATAGTCTTGATCTGTTATGAGGTCTTTTTGCGACATATGTTGCATTAACTTATCACATCATTATGTCAATAAATGTTATTAAAATTTTAAATTTTAATAACATTCCTCATATGCAAAGCTCAGGTACGTTTCGGAACTCTCAGTCTGGGATGTTAAAGCCCATCGGTTTTGAAGAGTTCAAAAAACCTTAATCCCCAAGTTGCAAATTTGAACAATGCTAGAACTCAATAAATGTACAATAAACATGCAACTGTATGCTTGTCGACTTTGACAAGTTCAAAAGCCGTTTTCTCAGAGATGCAATTTGCAATTGAATTTGACTTCGTAGGTGATTGAATCCAAGAAGCCTTACTTAACAAATAATATCAAGTCAAACTTTGATACGAAACCAAAAGACGTTCTAATTAGCCTGATGTATTTGGTTAACAGGAAATCATTACATACTGATGGGATTTTTCTGAAATATTCCATGATGAAGACACGTGTTATCGGTATTACCAAAACACTGTTGTTAAGAACAAGCACCATCGGCGCATAAAGGTCCTCGCCCCCGAGATACTCATCATATAGGATCATGGCATTCAGTATGAGTTACAATCAACACGTAACCTCAGTCTGATATGGTACCTCGGTCGGTATACCTCCCTCGGTTCCGAGATGAGCCTTTCCTCGGTGCCGAGAGGTACCCCGTCCTGGACGCTTCCTCTACTCCAGGATAAGCTATTGACGTACAGGTCATTAGCCTAAGCTAGTCTAGGCTATTCATCATGACCTCGTCTTACACAATTAGTGTCAGAACGTACTGGAATGCAGGGGCCACAGCCAATGGGGGATGGACGCGTGGCGTATGATATCACATCGAAGACAGAGAAACCGCATGCCGTTGCTGACATGCGACTTGGGAAAGCAAACGATTAATTACATCATTCCCTTGATGAGACCGCATTCAATGCGGTAAGGCTCGGAAATGAAAGACAATAAATGCTCCTAATACAGAGCATTTATTGCATCCTCCCCGAGAGGAGTACATTGTACCGTCGGCATCTCGATGACCTAGCATTGATTGCTCGGGACCCCGAGCAGTTAAGAAGAGAAGACATTCCTCATCAGAATCAGTGCGCACACTGCCTGTACCTAATGATCACCTACTGACTACACTGACAGCAATTATGAGCTTTTGAGGTATAAATACTCCTTACAAAAGGCAAGACGGGTATGCAACAAAAAACTCTTTACTACAATACACACTCAGTGTTTTCTCCTTCCTCTCTCTTTCTCAAAGACTGACTAGATCGTCGGAGGGGATACGCCGAAAAATACTCCGGCGCCCTTCTAACTTGTTCTTCTTTGTTCCAGGGACCTCTTTCAGCCTTACTGAATCGTTCTTCCGCTCCCCCAGGGTCTCTCTTTGCCGTTCTAGGTTACCACCGGACCTCGCAGGCTGTTTCAAGCAGCGTGGTTGGTCACTCAACTGGCTCACTCGAGTTCACCAAGGGAGAGATCTGTTCTCGTTTTTTATATTGTGCAGGATCTTGCACGCACAATCTGGCGCCTTCTATGGGAAACGACTAGTTTTCCTAGTTTTTTCTCTATAAAGAACAGTGACCATGGTGAACACTCGACAGAAAAGGAAAGGACCCCACCAAAGGAGTCTCGAGTTACAAGCTCCCTGTCATCACGGAGGGAGAGATCACACCAATATGAATAAAAGTGTCTCTACTCGGTCAAGAGGGGTTACCCCTCAAACTAGTATGAGAATCAGGTCAGGGGGATCAGCCCCCTTGGCTCGTCAGCTGGCGGAGGTGATTGAAGAAAAATTTGGCGATAGATTACTACAGCTGGAAAA